CCTAGGCCTAGGCCCACCGGTTCGACCCGAGGCTGTCGTCTTCGGGCCGCGGGCCAATTTTACACTCCTATCAATGTGAATGTTAATATATCAATGTGAATATTCACATTGTCACGGGCCGGGCCAGGCCCGCCCCGGGCAGCGGGCGAGCTTCGGGCCGCGGGCCAATTTTACACTCCTATCAATGTGAATGCTAATATGTTAATATGGATATTCACATTGTCACGGGCCGGGCTCGCCCCGGGCCACCCATAGGACACGAGTCAATTTTACATTCTTATCAATGTGAATGTTAACATGTCAATGTGAATATTCACATTATCAATGGGCCGAGCCAGCCCCGGCAATGGGCGGGCTTCGGGCCGCCCACAGGCCGCGGGTCAATTTTACAATCCTATCAATGTGAATGTTAATATGTCAATGTGAATATTCACATTGCCACGGACCGGACTGGGCTCGCCCCGGGCCGCCCACAGGCCGCGGGCTAATTTTACACTCATATCAATGTGAATGTTAACATGTCAATGTGAATATTCACATTGTACATGGGCCGGGCCCCTATACATTGATGATATGAACATTCACATTGACGGTGTGAACATTCACATTAGGGGTGTTTTGGTAATTATGTCACCCATAGGACTTATTGAAACATAAGAAAATAATATGAACTAAATAGAACATAAGTAGATGAAAAGGGTATTTTGGTCTTCTTATCTCAAATAGGACCTAATGGAATAGTCAAAAAAGAATATAGATTGGATGGAACATAAGTAATTAAAGATGGATTTATGGAAAAAATCTCCCATTTTATAATTTAAGAAAAAATGACATAATTTCAAAATTTTGAGTCATGATTAAAAAAATAAAAAATATCATAACTAAACGCAATACGAGACATAAAAAAATTTGTCATAATTAAAAAAATATTATAACTAAAAAAAATGATAATTAAAAAAATGACATAATTAAAGAGGCATGACAACTCTGAATGTATATTAAAATTTCCCATACATTTTATCTTGCAATATGAGATTGTATAAATGACACATTAGGAAGCTGGCCATCAGTAAGTCAAAGGGCTGTTTAGTGCAAGAATTGAAGTTCTTTATAATTATTTGTTTTTTCATTTTGAAAAATGTATCAGATTATTTTGTTGTAATTTTTATTTTCAATTTATGAGGTAAAAATAACAACAATGATTCATCCTTCTAATTTGGGACCTCTAATTGAGCACTAATGAGGTGAAAATTTTAAAAAAAGAACAGTTCTGTTTTGTAATTCGAATTTTCCGTGGCTCGAGCGGTCCGAAATTCCAAAACGACGTCGGATAAAAAAAAAATGTTACTTTTCGGATCAAAATACCACTAAATTAAGGACAAAAATAATTTTAGTTTAAAGAAATGATAGCCTACCATGGATGTGCACTCCGAAAACAAAAGCTCGAGCAAAAGGAACCTCAAATGCGAATGTCACCCAATCCAAAGTAGTGTTGACTATATCCATAACAGCTGATGCCATTGTATTCATTGCCTCAACTATAAAAGCATGCAAGGCTTCAACCAAATATACACAAATAGAATTGAGTTGAAATTTAAAGAAAAAAAAAATTTATGAATAATTTCTTTTGGTTTAATGTAATTCAACTTGTGAAAAAAATGACTAAATGACCCAATCGATTGTGTTAGAAAAGTAAAAAAAAAAAAAAAAAAAAAAAAAAAATAGTGCAAGAAAGAATGATTTCAAAACAAGATTAAATACACCCACGAAATAGATTCATACTAGCCAAAAAAAGCCAATGAAAATATCAGCATAGGTGACAAAAATGCAAAGATGCAAAGACAAAAATGCACCACAAACTTTAAGTACTGCCACAAAAAAAGCAGGACACCAGCAAGGCTGCAGGTGTTGCCACACTTATGTTAGCTGGAATGTGAAGTAGGAGTTAGAGGTGGAAGGGAGGTTCGAATGGGGAAAAACACACACACAGACACACACGGAGCAACCAAGCATAGATGATTTTGGCAGTAGTTTTTTGCCTACCATATAATGCACAACATGTGGAGAGAAACTATGGAACGGGGCAAAATGTGTCTCACGTTATAGCATTTGTCTCACGTTATAGCACCTGTTGGAGGCACAAAACTGATGCTTGGCTAGCAAAAATTTCTAAAATACATTTTTCCTCTCGTGTTGGAGTTGCTTAGACCAACATTAATAGGCATTTCGTCTAGCAAAAGAACAGAAAAAGTACAGTGTATTTTGCCTAGCCACTTTATATTTATGTCTATTGCGTACTGCAACAAGACTATCTATTTTGGCTAGTCATACAAACTAAGTTAATTGATTTAATAAATAAATAAATAAAATAAAATAAATCTTATATACACAAAATAAAAATGATACCTTTTGAAAACATAAGAGCAAATGCAAACTCACAAATTAACCTCAGTAAAAATGGTCTAAATTAGACCATAAGAATATTAATAGATACGACTTAGGTAGTGATTGGTTCCTGAGAATGAAGTGGAGTGGAATGGAATGGAATAATTATTTCATCAAAGTGTTTATTTCATGTTTGGTTGAGAATAAACATTGCAAACAAATTTTAAAAAAAAAAAATTACAGTAAACCAAATGAACCAGTGCCGGTTCAGTTAACTCCGCCGGTTCGTAGCAACGTATAAAATTTTCTAAATTAGGGCAAAGTTTCAGTTTCACATTCCAGTCGCCTCTCTCTCTCTCTCTCTGTCTCTCAGTCTCTCTGTCTCTCAGTCCTGCGATTCAGCTCACGGTACTCACTCTCTTCCTCATATCTACTCTAATTTTTTACTATTTATTTATTTATTTATTAGTTTTAATCGATAGATTCAGATTTTAAAAATTCTTTTTTTTTTATTTCATTGAATTAGGTATCTTTCCTTCAATTAGTAAAGTGGTATTTTGGCAACAAAGAAAAACGCTGCGTCTGGTTGAGAACGCCGAAGCGAAACGCTAGCATTTTTGGGCAAAAATTGATTTAGGGAGCTTCTATATACACACACCCTTTCCTCTCTATACAAATCCTTCTCAATACACACACTAAAAAAATAAATCCTAATATATTTGACTCACTACACACACCTAGCATTCCACATATACCTCCAAATGTAAATCATACACACACACACCCCCTCTCACACACACACCCGTCTGTCACCCCTCTCACACACACACCCATCTCTCACACTCTCCACCGTTCTCCCCAAAAGCTTCATCCATCCATCTGTGTCATTGAAGTATTGTCATTGAAGGGCATTGAAGAGCATTGAAATCTTCACATTTTAGGTTAGTTTACACAGATTAGAATCTTCTCATTCCTATTTTATTTGTAATGTAGGGTTAATTTTTACCATTTTCCGTCCACCATTGTAAGTGATTGCCGTGTTTCCTCATTCGGAACTGGTTATTCGAATTTTTTGTTTTTGTTCGTCAATCTAGTTTCGAAAACAAAAATAATATTCGGCATTAGAGTTCCGAATTTTCTACTTCTATTCGGCACTATAGTTCCGAAAATATTTACTTGGTTCGGCTTTCAAGTGCCAAAAATAATTTTTTTTTTCGGTTTTCAACTTCCGAATAGTAGCTTTAATTTTGGACAACAACTTCCGAACAGAATAGGTATTTTCAGTTGTGAACTTCCGAACAGGTTTTTTTTTTTTTTTTCCTTCTTAATTAAAACACTTAATTATAACACTTATTATAATTTAAAACACTTATTATTTACACGCACACTCATTACACACACTCTCATTAATTTTACACACACTCTCTCATTATAATTTAAAACACTTATTATTTACACACACACTCATTACACACTCTCATTAATTTTACACACACATTCATTACACACACACTTATAATTTAAAACACTCTCATTAATTTTACGCACACACTTAGTATTTTTTGCAGATAATATGGATTCTGAATATCAACAACGTGTCCCACCTACTGCTTCAAATAGACGACGTCGTGAATTGGATGTAGACCATGAACAGGGACGAGGGCGTGGGCGAGGACGAGGTCAAGGTTGCGGTCGAGGTTGTGATCCAGTTTCGGTAGAATATGATATTCCCAGTGCCAGTCAAAGTGGGGGCCGAAGCCAAAGACGAGTTGAAGGTTATGATATGCCTGACATTGCTGTGGAGGATACCTCTTTACCTGATTCTCCTCCTGTCCAGGAAGAGTACCTTACTAATGCTTTTCCAAGTGGACCGACTGATCCGTTAATACTGCGGAGTTTCAATAGTCATGTGGTTGCAGCTATTTGGCACGGAGAGGTAAACATTCATTTGTATATGAGTTTTTTTGTTTTTGTGTGTGTGTTGTATGGTAGTTTGTAATGAGATATCATTTGTGTTATAGGAACGAGTGCCCTTAAAGTGTCATAATCACTCTTCCAAGATCCTTGCATGGCCATGGTGGTTAGTAGAGAACAACACCAGATTCAAAGCCATTATTGAGCAGTCTGGACTGTCACAGTTAGCTCGTTGCACTTATCGGTTCGTCAACAAGCTTCTAATCTCCAGTTTTGTTGAGAGATGGCAACCTGAGACGAACACATTACACATGACAGTTGGTGAGATGACCTTGACCCTGGATGATGTTGGCACTATTCTTGGCCTTCCCATTGTAGGCAAATCAGTCAGCATACCAGATGTGACAGATCATCATGGAATTACATTACTCATTTATGGCTTGGGGATTACTGAACGTGCAGCACATGAAGAGGTTTCTTCTGCTGGTGGCAATTCAGTCAGGCTTGAATGGTTGCGAAGTCAGTTTGCTGGTGTCACAGATTCAAGCCCCGAGGAGGCTATACAGTGCGCTGCAAGAGCTTATTTGTTGTTTCTGTTGGGATGTACACTCTTCAGTGACAAGAGTGGCGGCAGGGTTCCCGTTGTTTACCTCGGCTTGTTGATGGATTTAGGATCCATACATACTTATGCCTGAGGTGCTGCTGCATTAGCATTTTTATATAGACAGTTGGGGTTTGCTAGCCGGTCTGGGGTTAAGCAGATCGGTGGTTATATGACTCTTTTGGAGGCGTGGATTGATGAGCACTTCCGAGCATTCCGACCTCATCAGAACATGGGCTACAATGAAGACATGCCACACGTGTACCATTGGGCATCTAGGAGAGAGGCGGGTTCCTCCATTGACCATTTGAAATCTTTTCGAGCCGAGCTTGATAGTTTAGTAGCTACTGATGTAAGTTTACTCATCCTGCAATAATTTTAAAACTTCCATTTATCTTACCCTTTATGTACTTTAATACAAAAACACTTTACGTTTACAGGTTATTTGGGATCCATACCACAGCTGTAGAAACCGGCATCCATGTAACCCGGTTACGTTCTACCATGGATGCTTAAAGTGCTTAGACGTTGTCGAACCCTATCATCCAGATAGAGTTTTGAGGCAGTTTGGCAGGGTTCAAACCATTCCAGATGCACTACTAGCTCCCAGTCGTGGTGCGCGAGGCAACATATCTGCACGATATACAGTCATGTACAGATACTTGGATAGGATCTGGGAGGCTTGGGATAACCACGTGTTATCTAAGCAACGGAGGAGCACACCAGTTCGTCAGCCTTGGCAATGTGTACCGGGTTACATGGATTGGTATAAGAATATCACGCACCTATATGTCGAGCACACTGATGAACCGCGTGTCCATGACCATCAGGATTTCAGCGAACATGCGGATGTAATCTATTATCCTCTCTTATGCATATGTAACTTACTTTTTTTTTCTGATATGTTCCCTAAAATGTGATATTCTTTTCAAATGCAGCGTATTGCACATGCACTGCAGATTTCACATCCTATTATTGACGTTGGTTATTAGGCGGGGATTCGCCATCCTTATCGACTTTACCAGGCTATCGAGAGTATGACACATGTTCTTGAAGGTCAGCACATTGACGAAGCTGGACCTAGTTCTGCTGGAGGTCGCTTTCCATCTTCAACATTGACATACAGTCGTAATCATAGGCGTAGGCGTAGGCGTAGGCGTAGGCGTAGGCATACAGCTGATTCGTGACATACAGTCGTAGGCCTAAGCGTAGGCATACACATGTTTTTTGGTGTTTTTTGTAAGATGACATTGTTGTAATGGTAACAGTGGTTAATATTTTCTTATTAGAATGGAATGGCAACAATGGTATTGTAATGACATTTTATTATTAGAATGGAATGGTAACAATGGTCGTTGATGGCGTACATTGTATCTCTGATCTTCCAGCTCTCTGTACCACCCTGTTTCGATGGCGTACATTGTAAATGGTTTTAAGTGTGCTTACATTGTGAATGGTAACAATGCTTTCTCATCCTTTGATAGCCTCCCCGCATATGAATGTCCCTCGAGGTGCTCCGCAGGTAGATGATTATGCAATCCGCATACTACGGTCAATGTCCATTCATCGTGTGTGGTAAACCTGTGAGCCCTCATATCAAAAGGACAACCTCATATCATTTGGTGAGCAATTCGAAACATAATCGTTATAATTTCGTAGACTGAACCTGTTCAGTTGTGAATTGAGTGGTGTAATCTAACACAAAATTCGCGCAAACCTGACTTCCTTGAGTTGACACATATTTCCTGCATGTTTTGTATAATATTACAAATTTTTAATGGCATTATAAAGATTAATTTGCAATTTGAAACTGTAAATTTGGTATGCAGTTTGCAAATTTGGAATATAAAATGGAAAAAAAAAATTACTTCATTCGGAAGTAGTTGTCCGAATTTTTTTTCAAAATTCGGAAGTTGAATGTTGTAAAAGTTAACTTTGTTCGGACAACAACTTTCAAATTTAAATACATTGTTCGGACAACAACTTCCGAAATTTATTACTTTGTTCGGACATCAACTTCCGAAAATACATGATTATTTCGGTAGTAGATTTCCGAATAAAATAACACAATTCGGCTCTGGTTATCCGAACGACGCTGGAAAAAAAAAATTTAAACTCACATTTCCTTCGCTTTGCTTCACATGAACACTTATTTGCTGATTTTCAGAAGGCAAATCCTCCATAACAATGATGTTTTCCCTACGGAAATGCCAAAGCCCTTTGGTTTCACTTCTAGCTCAATGAACTTGGAAGAAGTTATGAATGACACTGGTTCACTGGTTCTCAATCCTCAATGGTTCACTGGTTCTCCTTTCATTTTCAAATAAGCATGCCAAACCAGTGGAACAAGTTACACACACGATGCAACAGATGTGAACTCTGAGGTGTGCATTGAGATGTTTTCAATTAACAATGGTGTCTAAAATAGTAATTTCACTTAGGGATAAAATTATAATAAAATTAAATATCATTAAGTGTGTGTATTTGAGGGATTAGGTGTGTGTATATAGAAGCTCCCATTGATTAAATATCATTAAGTGTGTGTATTTGAGGGATTAGGTGTGTGTATATAGAAGCTCCCATTGATTTGGGATTGTGACTATAATCAACTACGTGAAATTACGATACTGCCCTCATTGTTGTTTAGGGTTACATATTGCCCAAAAACCAGAAAGACAGAGGACGCCGTTGGTTAGTGCTCCGCTGCCCCCTTCCTGTGATTGCTTCGCCTCACCTCGCCAAACCAACGTCTCACCCGTCGGCCCTCCGCAACGCCTCCGACGGCACTCTTCCACGTCGGCTTCGTCGTCGGTGTTTGCGCAGAATCAGGTAAGCCTCCACCTCCACCTGCAAATCTGAAATCCCTTGGAGTTTTTACCCAGATTTCTTGTTATCCTGTGGATTTTCACCCAAATATGGCTTGTTTGTGGAGAGTGAACCCTGATTTGCTTGAATCTTGCATGTTTCTCTTCGATTACTCCACCATGTTTGTGTTTCATGTTTGGGGATTTCACCAACACTCACGGCTGCCTCCCTGTTTTTCTGTGACTCGGTTTCAATTAGCTAACACTTTAGAGAACTCATTTTTTTTCTTGGTTGGTATTTTATTTGATTTTTCTCATGAAATATAGTTACAAAGGAGATTATTTCTTTTTTCTTTTTTATGCTGAAATCATGTATGAGACTTGGGTAAGAACATGGGAACGAAACTGAAAGAAACTTTGCAATTTTAAAATTAGTCATGCAATCAACCTCTTTGTATTAATCATTACCCTCATTATGAATGTACACATTTAATTATAAACAGCAATGAGTTATCTAAAAAGTAAGATCAACTCCATTGTCACATGGATTTGCCAAAGTATTTATTGGCTTGATACAGTACAAAAAGGCCACTTTTTTATTTTATTTTATTTTTTATTCCACTCAAAATGGTTCACATGTTATTTTGGCACGCCTAATTCTATCAATTTTGCTAACGTTTGATCTATTTTTCAAAAAAAAAAGAAAAGAAAGACCATATGGTGGTTCATAATTGGTGTGGAAATCTTGTGCCTTTTGACAAATTTTGGCTGAAGATTTGGGATACCATTGGAAGGCATTTTTTATTATAACTAAATGGCTTTGATTTAAGGATTTGACAAACCATTAGAGTTTACTCTAACCAAATAATCTCATTTGATAATATAGTCCAAGAGGGTTCTTGTCTTTTGGGTTTAGTGGCTGGTGTTCTAGGGATTTCTTTGTTTATGTTGTTCTGCTCTGTTTAAGGCCCGAAAACAAGGGACCAACTTTGTGTGCTGGTGCTATTTAAGTTTATTTATTTTTATTTATTATTATTTTTTTGGGATATATATATTGAATTTAATGATTATATTTTTATTTCTATATAATTTTCAATAGATGTAATTATGACATCACAGTTTGATCCGATTATCCCAACGATTGAATTAGTGAATCGTGAATTGTAAAGTAATCAAAGTGAAGCTCAGCAGATATTTGTATGTATCAGCAGGTTGTGTCTGAGGATTCTAAAGAAGTTGAATTTTTTTATTCAGAGTCATGTTACTGTTGTTTGTTAAAATGCAAGAACCTTTGGCAAGGATGATAAGAGACTTTACGTTGGTGATTTCTTATATGGAGAGAGATAATGTCTGTGTGAGAGGCCAATTATTCAGGTTCTATTTTGGAAAATGGAAAGCTTATGTGTTTGCCAGGAAAATGGAACAAATATTGTGTTCTAGAAGAAATAATGCTGGTTGGGAAGAGAGAATGATATAGTAAAACTTAATTTTGGCAATATGAAAGCATAACTGAGGAGTATTAGGTCTGCAAACTAAAACTTCCATATTTTGCTTGTAGAAATGATGGAGAGAGAAAAGATGACAAAGTTCTTCCAATTTTTCATTATCTTCTTCATTAAAACATGCCATGGAATCTGACATACTTTTTATATTTAACCAGATTTGGGAAAAGAAGGGGAAAAAAAATAAAAACTAGGAAAAAGAAACATTGAACCCTAATATGATACTTTGATTTAACATTTTAATGTAGAAAAAAAGTCATAATTTTGGAAAATGATAATTTGTATGAGACCATTGAGAAGCCTTTGTTAACAATATCCAGTTATAATTTTCTTTCTTTTAGACAACAGAGCTGCTTTAAACTTCACATCTGCATCCTGTAATTATTTTTTTGGTTTTTTTTTTTCCCCCTATCCTGTAAATTATGAGTTGCTGCTGCTATGCAGTTTTGAGAAAAGAAGATGCTGGAGAATGAGGCAAACCCTTGTATCAGCAAGACGACTCGTTTGCCACGGAAACGTTTTTATCGGGCACGAGCTCACAGCAATCCATTGAGTGATTCCCACTTCCCTGTGCCTATCTCCCCTTGCCATGTTGACTATTCCCTTCATTTCCCTCAACTGTTTCCATCATCCGATCAATTTGACAATTCCAAGAAGATCCAATTTGCAGATATCGGCTGTGGTTTTGGAGGACTCCTAATAAGTCTTTCAATCCTATTCCCTAACACCCTGATGATCGGGATGGAGCTGAGGGACAAAGTGACGGAGTATGTCAAGGAACGGGTTTTAGCTTTGAGGGTAGCACATCCTGGTCAGTACCAGAATGTATCAGTGGTTAGAACTAATTCCATGAAATACATTCCGAATTACTTTGAGAAGGGACAGTTATCGAAGATGTTTTTCCTGTTCCCTGATCCTCACTTTAAAGAGAAGAATCATCGGCGTCGTGTGATCAGCCCACACTTGCTAGATGAATATGCTTATGTTCTTGGAGTTGGCGGGATTATATATACGATTACGGATGTGGAAGAACTTGGGGAGTGGATGAAGGCTTGTTTGGAGGGGCACCCTATGTTTGAAGCTCTTCTAGATGAAGAACTTGAAGCTGATCCAGTTGTGAAGCTCTTGAGTGGTGCCACTGAGGAAGGACAGAAGGTTGCGCGGAATGGGGGACAAACTTTCCAAGCAGTTTTTAGACGCATCGTGCTGTCTGTTTGATCTGAGTAGCGACAAACAAAATAAAAACATACAGAATCTTCGTCTAGAATGATGTAGCAGCTTTAGGTTCTCTCATTTTAAAATCGAAAAAGCCCATCAGAATAGCTTCTATTTCTAAGAATGCCCTTGCCACAGCATTTTTTAGATTAATTTTGTATGACAGTTTTGTTTGTAGATCATTTTCCCTTTGATTTTGATATATAAAAGTTGGGAACTATTATGTACATGCTCTTCAATTTTGTACAGTTCAAGCCAATTTTGTAGTATGGTATGGTCTAAACAAATTTCATGTTGATCTTCTAGTCCTTTGAAACTTTAATTTGCAATGCTATTTTTTATGCAACCTTTTTTTAAAATTTAAACTAACTTTTTGGTAAAGTAATCTTGATGTAGGACAAGATTTTAAGAATATTTATATTTTTAGTTTTAATATTTTTGATATATTATTTCTTAATTTTATTATTTTAGAATTAGATTTTAATTAGGATTTTAAATAATTTAAAATTTTAGTTTCCTATTCTCTTAGATTTCTTAATTTGTGTTGTTTTAAATTTCTTGGTTTATTTTAGAATTACTTTTCTTGCAAGTATTAGGTTTAGTTTATTATAAATAAGCCTACAAACATATGTAATGGAGGGTATTCAATCAATAATATTTTAAAGAGTTTTTTTTTTTTTGGATTCAAGGTTCTATTTTTCTTGTAGATTCAAGAACCTCTTTCGTCTATTAGAACGATATTTAATCTTTGTATATTCTGCTGTGTCAATAACATTCACATGCATTTTTGAATTGCATATATATTCATCTTCATAAATATATACTTGAAGTAGATGTGATTAGAATAGAAAATATACATGTAATTTTTTCAATTTTCTTGTTATCAAAAAATTAATTTTCAAAATTTTTGACAAATACTTCAAGGAAATGATGACTTTTAAAAGTAAACCTAAAAATCTGAAAATCTGCAAGCTATGACAAATAATACTTTAACGAAAAAATCTTCTTTTGATTTTTCATTCAAGTACTTGGTGAAAATGAAGATGAAGACCAACATAAAAACTTGAATAGATTTGCAAATTTAAAACTTGCACCTCTAATGAAAATGACCATTGCAAGTAGAGCTATAATCTAACGTGAATAGACTTGCGAATTTGAAAGTTGCACCTCAAATGAAGATGACCATCGAAAGAAGAGCAGTACTTCCAAGGAAAATTTTTCTTTTCATTTTCATTGATGGCATGATATTAAAATGGAAAATTTATATATACATATATATATAATCTAACGTGAATAGACTTGCGAATTTGAAACCTGCACCTCAAATGAAGATGACCATTGCAAGTAGAGCAGTACTTCTAAGGAAAATTCTTCTTTTCATTTTCATTGATGGCATGACATTAAAAAGGAAAAAAAAAAATATGTATATATATATATATAAGTACATATAATCTATATAAAGGAATAAGATTTTTTTTTACGGATATAATTGATTTTTGTATTATTTGTCTAACCGTATAATTAGTTTTTATATATACAACAAGTAAATATTAGGTATAACGTGATATCACGTGATCATATCAATCTCATTTTGTGATAAAAAAAACACAACATATTTGGATAAGTAGGGAGACAGACAAGACCGATCCACTTAATCCCCATTTATGATATTTTTTGCATGGAATTTTTTTTTTTTAATTCAACCCCTCCTTACTTATGGGATTTAAACATGTCCAAGGCACATTTTTTTGTGAAAATAACATTACAATGTATAATTAATCTTCTATTGAATAGTTTATTTGTGTCAACTTGATATTAAGCAAGTTCGACGCTAATCTAAATTATTTATTATTTGTGTTGACATGACACGCCATAATTAAATTTAAATTAAAAAAAATGATCCATTATAATTTGCTAATTCAAAGTATACTTTTCATAGTATTAATATGCGGTGTGGAAATTTGCAATCTTTGTAATGAAGTTGGACAATTGACATGCATGTGTGGCATGTATTTATCAAGATTGTGATATTTTTTATTCTAAAATTGTAATGAAAGATATCTCTTACAGTATTCAATGATTTCATTTATATTATTGAAAGATTTCGATATGTTTGGTTTGGTTTTGGACGATAAATTTTTAAAAAAAATCTTCAGGAAATAGTTTAGAATTTTTTTTTGTTTGATTGGTTATATATTCTGGAAATAGTTTTGAAGTATGAGAGTTTAGAATGATTTGATATTTTGTTGTAGTTGAGTAGATATTTGTGAGAAAAAAAGTGATTGAGAAAAAGAGAGGAGAGAGAAAAAGTGATTGATTGATGTGTAGGAGATAGAAAATGATTTTCGAAATTTTTTTCCAAAATTACTAAACCAAACAAAATTTTAAAAAAAATTCTCCAAAATTTGTTTTTTTTGTTGATACAGCGGAAATGAAAATTTGTTTTTCAAAAATAAACCAAACAATACCTTCATTTTTATGCAGGCATTAAAAAATAAAAAAAATCAAACATGTTAGGTTTTTGTACGACTCACCCAATATACAGAACACCTCTGTTTTCCTTCTATTACTAGAGGGTCAAGTCAATAAACCATTTGATCTCAGGATTGGTACTGACCGAGTGTATACTAATATGCTTTAGCTTTACTGAGAAAGGGGAATTGACAAAATTAGATATCTTTCCTTCAATTAGTAAATCAGTTATGCAGTCCAGCCCTTGGATTGTTCATTAGCCTTGTTGTGAATGTACACATAATTACAAGCAGCAATAAGTTACTTTTTTTTCTTTTTTTTGTTTGACTTCTCTTAAATTGCTCATCTTAACTTAAGAGAGCATTTGGGTTTAGTAAGCTCATTTTGAGATCAATATCAATGATTTAAACCGTTATTTTTTAAAACTCATTGAGTAGAATATTCATACAAAAAAGTCAAGATGATCAGATATCGGTAAGTATATGTTAGAATCAAAATTGTATTATAAAAAATATATGACTATTTTTTAAATTATATTTGTCATCCATTTGTGTAAAACAAATATGATTCAAATATATAGATACTGATATCCAATCATTTTAATTTTTTACATAAATATTCTACTGAACGAATCCTAAAAAGTGAATGGTTCGGAGCACTAAAATCAATATTCGACATGGGTCTATCAAGTCCAAACGCTTTCTTAAGTTGAGGTGGCAACTTGAAAGAAGCCAAACATCTTTTTTTTTGATAACTGAGTGTTCGGATTAACTTACGTGCATCTCGACTAATTTCGAGAGATCAATCCCACCATCCACTTGCGAGGGCCCATTTAAAGTCAGGTCGAATGTCGTGTATGGACATGACCCCAAGTTACTTATTGCTACTAGTAAATATTAAATTTAAAACCTAATAAGAATATACTCTTAGATTTAAAATTTTACCCACTAAACCATTCTCTTGAGATTAGAGCAAAAAATTACTTAAGAGCAACTCTAATATAGTAAAAGTCAAAGTCACTTTAACAAAATATTTTTTTAGGCTTAATACAGTACAAAAAGGTCACATTTTTTGTAACACTACCATTAAAGAGAAATGTTTGAGAGCTTTGGAGAGAGAGTTCTAATAGTTTTAATTTATATGTGAATCTATCTAATATGATGCTTTGGCTTTATTTATTTATTTATTTTTAATTTTTCACATCACTAAAATTCAATTAGAATTCTAATTTTAAGGAATATTTGACAAAGTCAAATCTCGTGTATTTTGACAAATTTTGGCTGAAGATTTGGGACACTGTTGAAAGGAATTTATTTATTTATGAAGGCATAATTAAAAATGACTTTAATTTAAGAATTTAACACACTATTAGAGTTTTGAACTAACCTAAATAATCTCATCTATCTATATATTATATAAGGAAAATGTTATTTTTAATGAGGAGCCTTGTGAGAGTTTCAATATCTCATACTAATTTTCTTGATTTTCTTAATTTTAAATAATTAAAAAAACTCCATTAGCTAACTTTTATTTGATAATCCTACACCAGGAAAAAAAAATGAGTTGTTTTACTTATATAAAAAAAATCTTATACTCTTATCCCATTTAGTGAGGAGCCTTATATCTCATTCTAATTTTCTTGATTTTTTTAATTTTAAACAATTAAGAAAATCTCTATTGGTTAGTTTTTATTTGAAAATCCCATATCAGGAAAAGAAGAAAAAAGATGAGTTATTTTACTCATATAAGTGAATTTTATACTCCAATCCCATTTAATATTATAATGTTGTCCATGTTTCAATTCAATATAGTTTAAATTTTAAAAGTTTTAATTAATTAATTATGACTTAGTCAATAAGGCTAAATTATTTTTGATTTTATTGATTTGATGGTTTAACCGCGATTTTAGCTGTTTTATCAAAATATATTGATTAAATTTGTTTGAATTGAAATAAACTAATGAATGATTTGATTAAAGATTGAAAAACTAAGATTGCTTGATTAGAAATAAACTTTCCGTCCAAATAATTGTTAACTTTTATTTTATAATCTCACATCGAAAAAAGAAGAAAAAAAAAAAGAATTGTTTCACTTATATAATGTGAATCTTAATAGTGTAGTATTGTGTATAAATCAATTTAAGACAGTTTAAATTTTAAATTTAAAATAACATTTAAAAGTTTTAATTAATGAATTTTCGTATAAGTTAGTTGGTCGTTTGACCTAACTAATTAGGTTGAATTATTTGGGTTTGACTGATTCTCCGGTTTAATCGCAATTTCTCATATTTATTTTATTAATTTTAAACAATTAAAAAAAAATTTCATTCGCTAACTTCTATTTAACCATATAAAAATAAAACTCTAATTAATTTATGATTTATTTTATAATCCCACGTCAGGAGAAGAAGAAAAAGCAAAGTTTGTTTCACTATTTATCTATCTATCTTATTATATAAGGAAAAGGGACTTTTTAGAAAGAAATTTTCTAGGAGCTCCAAATCCTCATTCTAATTTTCTTGATTTTCTTAATTTTAAATAATCACTTTTATTTGATAATTCCACATCAGGAAAAGAAGGGAAAAAAAATGGGTTGTTTCACTCATATAAAGAGAATCTTATACTTCCATCCCATTTAGTGAGAAGTCTTATGAGAGTTTCAATATCTTATACTAATTTTTTTGATTTTATTAATTTTAAACAATTAAGAAATCTCTACTGGCTAACTTTTATTTGATAATCCCACATCGGGAAAAGAAGAAAAAAGTGAATTGTTTGGATTGATATAGTTTAGGTTA